GTTTTATAAAACGATCTCTCGAGTTTTATAAAACGATCTCTCGAGTTTTATAAAACGATCTCGAGTTCTTATAAAACGATCTCTCGAGTTTTATAAAACGATCTCTCGAGTTTTATAAAACGATCTCTCGAGTTTTATAAAACGATCTCTCGAGTTTTATAAAACGATCTTCGAGTTCTTATAAAACGATCTCTCGAGTTTTATAAAACGATCTCTCGAGTTTTATAAAGCGATCTCTCGAGTTTTATAAAACGATCTTCGAGTTCTTATAAAACGATCTCTCGAGTTTTATAAAACGATTTCTCGAGTTTTATAAAACGATCTCTCGAGTTTTATAAAACGATCTTCGAGTTTTTATAAAACGATGATCTCTCGAGTTTTATAAAACGATCTCTCGAGTTTTATAAAACAATCTCTCGAGATTCATAAAACTGCTGCGTTTACGCGTTCGCGGGGAATTTTGGCTATTGATTCCGTCGTACCGATTTTGACCCCAACAATTATAAATAAGTACTATATATTATAAAATTTATTGTTGTATTTCTTAATTATATAAATAGCCTCATTTTTAATAAAATATTATTATAGATAAGTATATTAATATTATTTTACTATATATTAGAAAATTTACTGTTAATATTTTTTAATTATATAAATAGCCTTGTCTTTAATAAAAATATTATTATAAATAAGTATATTAATATTATTTTACTATATATATTATAAAATTTACTGTTAATATTTTTTAATTATATAAATAACCATCTGATAAACTCTTTTATACAACATAATATATATAATATAAAACATAAAAGATCATACATATAGAAAATGAAAGATAAGCACCATACAAAAGAAATAACATAAAATAAAACTTACAACAAATATAATTGCTTAATAAACCGATAAATCATTTTCGGATCCATTAAAATTATTAAAATAATCCGATAAAATATTATTAAATTCTTACATAACATGATAATAGAAGATGATTGTGATCTCGAGGTGCCAACTGAAGTTGAAAGAGAAGTCATGTCAAGGAAAATTGAAATTGAAGAAAAAAAAATGTGAGGTTCCAAAAGTTTCTTTCCCATTTCAGAGAAATCAAAGATAAAGAAGCTCATTTTTACTTCGAAATGCATTAGTTGATCATTTGTGGGAAAATTATTATAATTCTCATGAATAATTTAGAATTGATGTATTATTGTGTTTAAGCTATATAATGTAATTTTTAATGTATTAAATGTATTCTTTCAAAACCTTGTTGAGTAGTTTTATTTATATAATAAAAATTTAATTGTGGTTAATATTGTATTTAATAGAAATGCTATAAATTTAAAATGGACTGTTTTAAAAATAGTATAAATGAAAGGTGATATTCCTAATTTTGAAATAAATATAATATTAAAAATATTCTTTTGGAGTAGAAAATGGAGTAATACATTGGAGTAAAACTCAACTGCATTTTGGAGTTACTCCATTTTAGAGTAGAAAATGGAGTAATACATTGAGATGCTCTTAGGCTATTAACCACCCACCACTACTTTACGTCTTTACTAGAAGTAGCTAGCAGTGTCACTCACTTCCCAAGACACCACTCCTCTGGTAACCCTGAACTCTTTCTCTCTATCTCTTTGTGTGGCTCCTTTATCTTCCCCTTCTCTCTCTTCTCTCCAGAAGCAAGAAGAGTATGGATTATCTCAGAGCTTTCATCTTCCTAGTCCTTATTCTCTCAGCCATTTCACTCTCAGGTAATGCTGCTTCCATTTTAACTTGAAGAGAGATTATACGACACATACATTCTCATTCTCACTTATTTTGTTTATCTTCTTTTTGCAGATGCAGGTTCCGTTGGTGTCAACTACGGGCGAATCTCGGACGAACTGCCATCTGCATTCAAAGTAGTACAGCTCCTTAAATCCCAAGGGATAGACCGGGTGAAAATCTTTGACGCAGACCCGGCTGTTCTCAAAGCCTTATCCGGATCTGGAATCCGGGTCACAGTAGATCTCCCAAACGAAATGCTTTTCTCAGCCGCCAAACGCCCTTCCTTCGCCGCCTCATGGGTCAAAAGCAATGTAGCAGCGTACCATCCTTCGACGCAGATCGAATCAATCGCGGTAGGAAATGAAGTCTTCGTAGATCCACATAACACAACCAAGTACTTAATCCCAGCTATGAGAAACATTCACAAAGCTCTCGTCAGTTACAACCTCCACTCATCCATTAAAATCTCTTCTCCTTTAGCTTTAAGCGCTCTTCAAAACTCTTACCCTTCTTCCTCCGGATCTTTCCGACCAGAACTCGTCGATCTCGTCATTAAACCGATGTTGGATTTCTTACGCGAAACCGGTTCGAGACTAATGATCAATGTCTATCCTTTCTTCGCTTACGAAGGAAACTCAGATGTGATCCCTCTCGACTACGCTTTGCTTAGAGAGAATCCAGGAATGGTTGATTCCGGTAACGGTTTGAGATACTTCAACCTCTTCGACGCACAGATCGACGCCGTTTTCGCAGCTATGTCGGCGTTGAAGTACGACGATATTGAGATTATCGTGACGGAGACTGGATGGCCGTCGAAAGGAGACGAGAACGAAGTCGGAGCCATCGTGGCAAACGCAGCGTCGTACAACGGAAACTTAATCCGTCGGATTTTAACCGGAGGTGGAACTCCGTTACGTCCCAAAGCAGATCTCACCGTTTATCTCTTCGCTCTCTTCAACGAAAACAAGAAGTTCGGACCTACGTCGGAGAGAAACTACGGTCTCTTCTTCCCTGACGAGAAAAAAGTCTACGACATTCCTTTCACGCAGGAAGGGTTAAAGCATTACCGCGACGGTGGTCATAATACTCCGGCCACCGGGAATCAGCAAGTCACGCCTCCGAACAACGGTGGTGGAGTGTCGAAGAGCTTGACGGGGAGCACGTGGTGTGTGGCTAATGGTGATGCCGGTAAGGATCGGCTACAGGGTGGTTTAGATTACGCTTGTGGTGAAGGTGGTGCTGATTGCCGCCCCATCCAGCGTGGTGCCCCGTGTTACAGTCCAGATACGCTTGAGGCCCACGCTTCCTTTGCTTTCAATAGTTATTACCAGAAGAAAGGTCGTGCTGGTGGTAGCTGTTACTTCGGTGGCGCCGCTTACGTCGTTAGCCAACCACCAAGTGCGTATTTTATCTCTGCTTTTTACTTATTTATTTACATTCGAGTGCAATTTAAGAGTGTCTATGGGGTGTCATGCTATCTTACACCATTTAGGGTTGCGCATTTTAATTGGATTTTATTTGGTCAAATATGGAGAGAGAGACAATGTTCCCACGTGAACGTCTAGTGATTGATTGGTACACGACGTGTCGACGACATTTCTATAGAAATGTGATCCAGGCAATGGTTTGTTGTTTATTTATTTATGGTTTGGGTTTAAAGAGAATCCTATGAGTCTTTTGGGGTTTCATCTTGGATTATTTTAGTTGTAGCTTTGTAGGTCTACGTACATAAGTCTTATGTTAAAGAAGCTGATTTGTTTAATTTAATGTGAATATGCAGAGTACGGAAGATGCGAGTTTCCGACAGGATACTAAAGGAATAAGAGAATCCAAGGGAGAGGATTTATTCTGCCATATATATTCGTATCTTGGTTGTGTTTTGTTTAGCCAGAAGTTCTTAGTTAATTTTTGGAACTTTTGACTTTTAATTTTATGTTGTTAATATCGACTGAAACGATGTTCTTGATATTTACTATTTAGGTAACGAAATTAGTATGATGTTAACTAAATGGGACATCGTCGGGACAAAAAGTCGACAGGTTGAGTAAATTAGAAACAATTCTAAGTGAAAATAGACAACTGTAATCCACTTACGAAAAACAAATATAGAAAAAAGTGGATAAAACAGGTTTATAAAGTAGAAATAGCTCAACATTCAACCATTCAACAGCTGAAAGCAGAGCAAGGATAGAGGCAGACCTGCATGAGCTAAACCTCTCAATCAAGATTTTATGGAATTAGTACATCTATACTATTATTTGCGAAGTGATTTTTCGCAATAAAATATATAAATTAGACATAAAATAAAAACGAAATTGATATTTATTTAATTAGATAAATGATTTAAATTAATAATAATGATAAGAATTATCCATAATATAAATATATATTTAACAAAAAAAGAAAAGATAATTCCTATATATATTGTGTTGTTATCCGGAAAATACATTTTAATAAAAAAATCAAAAACAGAAAACACATAAATAATACTCATAAAGAAACTTTTTAATTGTACATAATTGAAAAGAGAAAATTGAAAAATTTATGATACGTAATTATTTTCTAATTAAAATAATATAATAATATAACATAATGATATATATATAATTAAATTAAATTTATCTGTACAATTATTTGCGAAGTGATTTTTCGCAACAGAGCTCTCACATTAAACGTTAGAGTGGTTACTATCGTTTATACACTTAATAAATAAAATATATAAATTATACATAAAGACATAAAGTAAAAACGAAATTGATATTTAATAAAAAATCAAAAACAGAAAACACATAAATAAGTATTGATAAAGTAAAATTTTTAATTTTATATAATTCAGAATAATATAATACATAATTATTTTCAAATTAAAAGAATATAATATAATGATACATATTTGTAAAGTTATTTTTCGTCTCTGAACTCACATATTAAATTAAAATTTTATCTATATTTTATATAGTTAAACCTTAAATATGAATTAATCATATAAAATAAAAGATCATTCAAAAAGAAATAAATAATTGACAAAAATAAATTCAAATATATTGTATTATTATCCAAAATAATATTATTCTTTCTGTAAGATCAATTTTTGAATGTATATTTATCGATTCAATTTTTCAAATTGAAAGATAGATTTCCATATTTTTTATCAATTAAGAAGAAATGAAATACACTTTAGACTTTTCAAAATTTTAAAGGAAAATATATATATATATTTTAATTTGTGAATAACTTATCATGTAAAAAATTTAATGTTTTGAGTCGAGTTTTTTGGATGAAAATAATCATTTATTTTGATGATTGTTAAATTAATTTAAAGATAATTAAGTCCGCATGTGCGAGCAAAACACCTAGTTTATACTATTATTTGCGAAGTGATTTTTCGCAACGGAGCTCTCACGTTAAAAGATAGAGTGGTTAATATCGTTTATACCCTTAATGAGTAAAATATATAAATTAGTCAAAAATAAAAACGAATTTAATATTTATTTGATTAGATAAATGATTTAAATTAATAATAATGATAAGAATTATCCATCATCTAAATATATTTAAAAAAAAAAGATAATTCCTATATATTATGGTATTATCCGGAAACTATATTTTAATAAAAAAATTCAAAAAAAGAAAACACATAAATAAATATTCATAAAGTAAAAATTTTAATTGTATATAATTGAAGAGAGAAAATTGAAAAATTTATAATACGTAATTATTATTCAAAAAAAAATAGAGATTTTAGTTTTAAAAAGATAATTCTTATATATATATATATATATATATATATATATATTGTGTTGTTATCCAAAAAATTATCTTTTATAAAAAAAAAAAATTCAAAAACTCATAAAAAGAAAATACATAAATTAATATTAATAAACCATTCTTAATTTTATACATATGAAAAAAGAATATTGTATTATTATTTTTGATTTATTTACTAATAACAATATAATAAATATTTTTTTCAAAACAAATTATAGTATATAAAAATTTTCTAATGAAAAACAAATAATAATTTATAATTATAGTTATTAACGCATTTACTAATAATAAGTAATGCGTTTACAAATAATAAGTAATTATAAAATTGTTAAGCCCGCATGTGCGGGTAAAACACCTAGTTTTTGGGTAAATGAAGATAATTGTAGGCAGTGGCTGATTCAGAAACTTTTTTTATCGGGGACAATTTTAATTTAATTCTTTTAACTAAATATATTTGGCAACTCCCAACAATATTACAAAAAAAGATTATCAGTAATTTATTTTGTATTCCTTCTGTTTTAAAATAATTGTCATTCTAGACAAATTTTTTTTTTTAAAAATAAGTGTTGTTTTTGAGTTTTGAGGCAAAATTTATTAATTTTATATGATATTCTATTTTTTTATTGGTTGAAAAAGTGGTTAGGTCTACAAGATAAACCGGACACTACGGTGAGACGTACATTAGCACTCATACACCATGTTCGTCAACCAAGTTTGTTCAGTGGTCGTAACGTAATTGGTTAAGGGGAGAAATAGGTAATTGTAATTTTATCTTAAAATATGTAAAATTAAATGTTTTTCTTAATTTGTATGTAAAAATCTAAAATGACAATTAAAATGAAACGGAGAGAATAATATATAAAAGTGCAATAACCATTTGAAAAGTTTTGTGGAACGTATGTTTTCTTTATGTCATGTGGCCTTATTTATTAAAGAATGAATAAGCACTGTTTTCAAAGTAATAACTAATAAGTCTATAAAATGTTGTATGAGCTATGACTCTTTCTAACAATATGTTACAATGAACTGTAATATTTGTAAAATGATGCAAAAATGTAATGAGAAAAGTGTCACCCAAGGATTGAACCTGAACTTGAGCTGGAGATTCATATGATTTTCTATACCAAACAAATTATTTGATCATTTAATCGGGTCACCTGGCCTCCCTAATCTCTTAGTAGATCTGCTCCTAATTGTAGGAGCTAATTGTTTTTTTTGTTTATAGATAAATAGTTCTTTTGTTTCTAAAATATTCATATTCGAGTTTTTTTCTACACTTTTAAAGAAAACACAATAAATTTGCATAGTTTTTGTATTTATCTTTTCATAATTTTAAACCAATAAAAATCAATTAGTGCAATCAAGTTTTTTGAAGTTTACAATTAATTAATAAAATATGCATTGAAAATATAAAAAATAAATCTTTTAGAAACAATTTTTTTTTCTCTAAATTATGTATCTTTAAGGAATGGAAAGAGTATTAGATTTAGAGAAACATTGAAAAATAGTTTTTCTCAGATAAATTTAATATTGACAATAAATATGACAAATATACAACTTAAAACAATATTCTAAATTTGCAAATGAACAAATAATGATCTTTTTTTTTTTACTTTACTAAGAAGACAAATATTGTCAAATCAGTATCTCAAACGAGTTTTAAATGTTTAGATTTATACTAACTCCTAAAGACGTATTCATCTTAGATGGGCGGGAGACCGTTGAGGAAGTGACCTTGATCTTCATCATGTCCATTGATCAACAATATTTATCTTCAATTTAGAAGTTGAAGAAAAGAAGAGATCTTCCGGAGATAGTTTTTTAAGTTTCGAAAAAATTGTAGGTTTTTTTTGCAGAATTAAACTAGATTTTGAAGTCAAACACAAAGTAACTTTTTTTTTTTGAAAATTGATTTCGTCCTATTCACCCCACAAGTTCATATTATTCACGAAAATGTCATCAAGTGTTTTTTTCGAAAATGACATTTTTACACTTTCACCCTCATCATCTTCAAGTAAATACAAGATTGCCATTGACATTAATACCCCAACCACCATGAACAACCAATTTGAAGCTCTTAATGCTTCCAAATTCGATTTACCCTTCTTCTTTCTCCATTCTTATAAACTAAACAAAATATCTCTTTCATTTTCTCTCCTCATTGAGCTAAAAAACCTAAGATTTTGATTCTACATTTTTTATGGTTCATATAGTTAAAGAAACTAACGATTTTGGGTGGGTTACTTTCGTTTGAGATTCTGTGTGCTTGGAGAAGCCATATGTGTGCTAAGAAAGTTATCTCACTAATTTAAGGTATGAAATCGAGTTTTTTTCCAGATATGTTCGTCCAAACGACTGAAATATCAGTCGTCTGGTCAGTGCAAAGCCCATTTTTGCAATTGACTTTGATATTTGTTTTTTGGGACGACTGAAATATCAATCGTCTGCATTAGTTTGTTTACAAAAAAATCTCTTAAGAATCTGGACTACTGAAATTTCAGTCGTCATTAGTTAGTTTTGCAGTTGACTAGAATATTTCAGAAGTTTGACTTTTACGGACGACTTAGATTTTAGTCGTCTGAAAAAAATTGAAATATCAATATTTATTGAAACACGACGACTTACAGTTCAGTCGTCCGTATGAAGAATTATAATTCAACCGTCCGGGATTTTATTCTGAGATTCTGGTCAAACCTCGTAAATCTTGGACGACTCAATTGTAAGTCGTCTGACAGACGACTGAACTGTAAGTCGTCTGGATATAATTAAAAGTTTTGAAGTTTTTTTTCAGAATTGTAAAACTAACCTACGATGACTGAAATGTAAGTCGCCGAGTCTCAATAAAATATTGATATTTCAATTTTTTGCGGACGACTAAAATGTAAGTCGTCTTTAAAAGTCAAACTTCTGAAATATTTTAGTCAAATGCAAAACTAACCTATGACGACTGAAATTTCAGTCGTTTGTGTTTTTTGGAGATTTCTTTTAATCAAACTAAATCAGACGACTGATATTTCAGTCGTCCCAAATACAGATTTCAAAGTCAATTGCAAAATAACCTCTGCGTCGACCAGACGTCTGAAAGTTTAGTCGTCTGGATGACTTAGATTGAAGTCGTCTACGTCTATCTTTAATTTTTCTTTGTTCTGTGTTTGCTAATGTGTTTTATTTTGACTTTTTCATATGATGCGTCAGTTACATGCATTGTATGGAGAATGGTTGTTGGAAGATGGATGTTGGAATTTTGTGTTTGATCGTTTCAAAGGAGC